TTTTTATCAAAAAAAATTATTTAAATGCGAGTACCTACTAGTTATTTTTGGCAAGAAAAAAAATTGTGACTCTTTAAAAACTTTGAAATTTAGTAAATTGTAATTTTCGACTCTACTGACGCAAAAGGTTGCCGACCCCTGGTCTAGACCACCAGTGAGCAACTTACGGCCCGCAGGCTAACTTCGGCCCGCGTGAGGATACAAACCGTTTAAATTAAAATACGCCCTAAATCTCGGACTACCTATGTCCTTTCCATGGGGCACGGGTGTTCCGCGGAATACCGTTTGGAAACCGCTAACCTGGATGTCTAGTCCATCACGTCGCTCAGTTTTAATAAGAAATTAATTACTATTGACAACGTTATTAGCATCAAACCCCCTGATATTATATCATAGTCAGTCAGTTTCTTTCAAGTATGTATTTAAAATATACTTTTCCATGTCTATCATTTTATTTCATTATTGATCAGAAATCTCTTTCCAAAAGTGGAAGAGATAATACATTTAGCATTTGTCATCATCTCTTTTCGCTTCTTTAGGTTCTAATCCCATATCCGAGCAAATACGTTATCTAATATGTGACTGAAAGATACAATACACTGTGACATTGTAAATCGATGAGTGGAATTAACCCAGGACAACCCCGTAAGAACGACGTTTTATCTTGGTCTATTTCAGTGCCAGGCGTTCGCCGCATTTTTCAGAAGCCACCCTTTCAATATTAACAACGGCAGCCACAGCAATGCAACCCCTGCCCGTCTATCATCAGATTACTCTCGTACACATCATTCGAATGTGACACACTTGGGGATTTTAAGCCACACTTCCATGTCCGTGCTAGAACATTAACGGGACGTGCACACGTATATGTACGAGCCATGCAGAATAACAAAGGTTGTCATTCTCCTTTTTATCTTGACCCCTTCGTTAAAACTGGTTTGTTGTTCAATTATAGATTACGTAGCGCTAAATTGCTACGCCATCGTTAATTCAATAAGGGACAATTTTATCTAGACAATGACTATTTTGATATCATCGTCTTAATAACATAAACACAATAATAAACGTTAGAGGTCACAAAAATACCCATGTAGGAAAATGCCAGCCTTGACGACAGGCCCAAACCTGGACCAACAGTGTAAAACCAGGCATTGCCTTGCAAATATTGCTCCAAAGTTCAGCCAATCTTCAAATGCAAAGGCTAGGCACATTAAAGTTTCACCAAGTTTGGTCCAATACTGGGGCATCCAATCATTGGTTTGTCAATAATGCTCCAAAGTTCGGCCAATTTTCAAGTGCCAAGGTTAGGTACATTACCGATTCGCCAAGTTTGGGTCCAATACTGGGCAGCCAAGCATTTGCTTGTCGATGCTGGACCGAAATGCGGTCGATTTGCAAGTGTTAAGACTAGATTTATTAATGTTTCGCGAAGTCTGCTCCAATACTGGGTAGCCAAGTATAGGTTTTTGAAAGTACTAGTCCAAAGTTTAGTCAATATTCAAATACCAAGGCTAGGTACAATAATATTTCGTGAAGTAGTTTGATCCAATATTGGGGCAGCCAAGCATTACCCTCCCAATATTGATCTAAAGTTAGGTTAATTGTCAAATGTCAAGGCTAGGTTTATTAACGTTTCGTCAAGTTTGGTCCAATATTGGACCGCCGAGTATAGGTTTGAAAATACTGGTCCAAAATTTGGCCCATCTTCAAATACGTTAGATTATTGTAAGAGATCTATTCCCAACGTTTCACAAGCACGAGTGGCGAACTTACTCAGTGGTCCTCATCCAGCATTTAGACCAGATCATTATTTCAGTATAATTTCTTTATTTGTTTTATTACAATATGGTCATCGTCTAAATAAAACTGTCGTCAACTAAATTGAATTAAAAATTTGATATTTGTCCACTTATAATTAGCTATCCGCCACCCTGATCTTACTACCAATAAAATTTAAAATTTCAGCACCAGCACAATTACGTCATGTGTACCGGTATAAGAAGTGATTTAAATAAAAGGTTTGTAATTACATCCGTTTTGATCGTAAGC